GTATCCAATATTCTGTTCTCAAGAAATATAAACTGGACCAGCTGTGGTCTGGCCAACATTTTGGGGAATGGATGGGGGATGAAATGAATGTTGTGTCTCTGCCCTGAGCAAATCACAGTCCCCTAACATGAGCTTGTAGGTGCCTTCTGTACTGAAAAGAAACATCCTCTCACGTTACTCTGGCCTCTGGACAGCCATGGAAATAACCAGTTTTCGGGCAGCAGTAGTTGAATACTATGTAGCCAACAGGTTAGGCTCTTAGTATTGTGGAAGGACATTATATGTTACTTGGTAATGACATCCTGATTCTGGAAAGACACTCTTCTTTTGCGTCATCTGCACAGGTCATTAGAGAGGATAAGCATGACTTCTTGGTGTGTACTGAGTCTTGAAGGGACTATGCTCAAGCTATGCAATAGCTGAGGAAGAGGTTTCTTGGCTTTCCTCATGGTACCTCCTGTATCCCAAGCAGCTGAATGGTTCAGAGCAGTGAAAAATCTATGGATTTTTTTTTTTTTCTTAACTTTGAGTAGAAGAATCAAGTGAAGTTTCTGCAAGGAGTTTTTAGGAGAGCAGGGGAATGGCTGTGGGCTGTATCACAGCATTCAGATCTCCTGGGACCAGAGCTCATCCCTCCTTCTGTCTCGAGAAGTGCTATTCCTGTTTCCCCTTCTTCCCTGCTAGTTAGTATTGAAGTGACAGTAGACAGAGAAAGGTGGGTTGTGAGGAGAAAGACGACTCCTTGTATGGAAAACCACCAGGTGCTGTTTCCAAAATGTGCAATTGTTGTCAGAAACTAAGCAAAACTGGGTAAGATGAACAGCACACGTTATTGTTTGTTAGGTGAGTGAAGTGTGTCACTGTTACCCCCCATACAAAAGTTGGTCGTGCCTTTGGTGCATCGTTGCATCTGGCTGACCTTTTGGCATTATGGTTGAGAGCATTTGGCTATAAGCTGTAGACTCTGTTTTTGAAAGTAGGTCCCAGGACATTATCTGGTCCCTGTCATTAACTGAAGTTTGGTATGTGTGAGGAGTCTTTGCCTGGGACAGCTATCCTGATGCGCAGAGTGCTGCTGTGTCTTCCACCTGCGTCTGTGTCTGAAGGACATTCACGAGTGTCACCCTCCTGCACAATGTCACTGATGTTTGTGAAGTATTTCTTAGCAAACACCACTGCAGTCTTGGACTCCGCTGCCTTCCAGATCATTCTCAAGTATAAATCACCCATTTGGTTTTGACCTTGAAAGCTCTGCATGTTACATATCTGTACTTGAGAAATTGCCTCCCACCTTACCGAGGGTCTGCTACCAATCGTACATAAATTGCACGGGAAGGGGGCTGGTGAGGGTGTTGTCTTCTGTAACGCTGCTTGCACTCATTTGTGCTCTTGGTCCAGGAAAGCAGAAATTTGTTAACCCTGGGCCTCCCGAGCTTTGGGAAGTGTGTGTGAGGGACAGGGGCTTAGAGAAGATGGTTTCTGCCCACTCCAACTAATCTGTTTCTGTCTGTCCATCTCATGTAATTCTCTGGCACCAATCACTCTGGTAGCTAAGCATGTTTCTCAGATGACCACAGCTTTTTTTCGTCTTCTCCTCTTTTTAATAGTCTTTTCTCCTTCCTTTTAAATCGGTCTTTAATAAAGTTGAGAATTCTTGCACAGGGTTTTATAAACATGTGTTATTAAATTTTAAATCTGTTTTGAAAGTGCCTCTATCCTACTCCCTCCTAATAAAGTGACCTTTTTAAATGGAGGGAAGTGGGTTTAGATGACAGTCATGATAAATGCGGTCATGTTCACTCAATAAAATAAGGCCCAGTGCATTTGAGGATAAATCAGTGAAATGTACAGCCCCACCTGTCTGTCTCCATCATTCATTTCCACTGTCACTTTCACAGTGGCTGATGGATCACAGTTGCTGTAAAATTAGACAGCCTTTAATCTCATTTCATCCTGATTAGCTTCTCCTTACCCTTTCCCTCTAACTCACTGACTGACACGCTAAAAACTCTCACCGGGCTGTGTTTGAGCGTGGCGTACAAACTTCTCTTCAAATACCCTTTTTGCGGGGCAGGCAGGTGTTCCACTGAGCTGAAATCGAAAAATGAGAAGATGGGATTTTCACATTATTAAAGCAAAACAGCAGACAAAGGCTCATATAAAATTAATGAAAGCAGCAGCCTGGCCAGCCTGTGTGATGGGCCAAATTCTTCCTGTTACACCCTGGCAAGCCCAGTGAGTTTGAGAAGATTGTTGCTACTAGAGGCTGAATTTAGGGTGCTCGTTGCCGCATGATTTTGACTGTGCCTATGAAAAGGTAGGTCCTATATGGGTGTGCGTTCATAAGGAATTACAGTTTACAGCACAAACTTTCTGGTGCTTTCAAGGGGCGTTTTATAGCAGTAAAAAAAAATGTTTGTTCCCATAGTTTTGATTTCTCTGTATAACTCGTGATTCTGAGGGACCCTGAAAATGGTCAGAGGGAAAGACTGTGATGTTCGTAAAGGTCGAATATCATTTCAATTTCACAATTTCAGTGCCAAATTCACAATTTCAGTGCCAAAACTTCATCCCCCTTAGATGTCCGCAGTAAGGCTCCGTCCTCCCTGTTTTGTCCAGCCCACTCCAGCCCCGACGGCAGATTCGTGAGACCAAGAGCAGAGCTTTTTCCAAAGCTCTGTGAGAAACAAAGGTCATAGCAAAAGTCTGCAGAGTTTTATTGCAGTCACCTTTCCTTCTGAGGCCCAAACACTACCCTCCTTTCTAAGGCAAGCTTCCCTTTAGGATTCCTGTGAGTTACAGAGGGTAGTTTGGGTCATTTAGGCCCAATCCCATATCAGTGGGAATGTTGCCATCAAGTTAAGTAGGAGCCAGGATTAAGCCCTTAGTTTTCAAGGTTTAATTATCATCATAAATATGGGAGTCTTATTGCATAGTTTATATGCATGGGAACAGCAGAAAAGCTTAAAATATAATTTCTTCCTCTACTGGCCCTGTTTGTGTCAATATGGAGGATAAATAAACAAAACTATTTGCAAAGATGGAAATACAACATGTGAAAAATATGCATGTATGCTGCCTGCAGACAGTTCTTCTGATAATTGCTGGATCTCTAAAGACTGACCAAAGGAAGAGCCTGGTTGAGAGTACAACCACTGGCTTGGACCTCATGTGAAACCATAATAGAGCATTGGATGAGGTAAGAATTGAAGCCCTTGTGGACTGATCCTGGGGAGTTTCTTCTTGAGAGGAGGGGTCCCAAAAAGCATCAAAGGAAGACAGCAAATTTCCTGTGGGAGACCCAAATTCATTCTGTAATACAAGCATCCACGAAATCAAGGAAAGTACTGGATTTTTGAGAGAGATAGTTTTAAAATGAGAACATGTCTGAGATTAAAGAATGAGATAAATATGATAAGGAAGCTCTGAAGATAACAAAAATCTTTTAATTCTTTCATCCCACTGTAGGAATCTATAGGTTGTATAAAATCTTACAGAGTGCCTGGTATGGGATTACTTCCCGTTTATATAACGTGTGCTAGTAACAATAACCTTAATTAATGAACTTTCACTGTACCTGGCTGCCCAAATTAAGAACTGCTTCACTTATATGACTTGTAAGAGCAGAGACTATGAAAATGATATTCGACCTTTACTAGAAACTAAAAATGTACCTTACTTATTCATCATTGCCTTGGCAAAAACTTCAGTAAGAAGCTTAAATGAGCCCACTTGATCTCTAAGAAAATGTGTCCTAAATAACAAAGCTGTGCATATTTCTTCTTATTATTATTTGCATATGCTATACTGCACAACTGCATTCTGAGAAAAATAAAAGATAATAAAACAAATGAAATGAGAGATATATCACCCAAAATAATCCAAGTGTGAGATAGGCTGCCTCTTTTTTTTTTTTTTTTTTTTTTTTTGGCATTGGCAAAAGAGCACAAAGTAAGAGCTGGCCCTGAGTCATATTGATTTCCCACTGCACTGGTTTCCTAAGTGCTCTGTTGATCCGTGTCAAGCAATAAGTTCCCTGCCTGTACATGCACATCACCTCCCCATTTGTCCTCACCTAGATTTAAGGTGCCCATATGATGAGCTGAACAAGGACATCATTTTTCCTACTGGTGTCACTGGGCCAAAACTACTCTATGTGGTATGATAGCTAGTGCTGTGTAAATTCACATTTACCTTATAATATCACAATAGTGCTGTATGGCACACCAGAATAATAGGTACATATTATGTATATATAAGCCCTTATTTATGTCTCTTAGTACTTGCAGTGGAAAATGTAAATTTTAAAAAAATCTATTATTGCAACTGTATTTGGTCCATAGAAATGCCAACACCTCCAAAAAAAGGGGTATTGCAAACCTAATGCCACAGTTTTGATCTTTGTTAACAAAGGGCTTCCTGATTAGATGAATAGAAAATGTGTGGTTGTGCTGCTAATGACATTGTACAGGAAATTAAGCGTATACATTTGGAAAAGGCATTAAATCAGCAGGACCTTAATTTAAAAACTTAAAACTGTATGGAAATGCAGCTTGTTCATTGCTGTGTAATGGAAAGCTACTGAACACACTGACTCTTCTTGTGGAAACATTACAGCAGAACAAAGCTAGGCTAAGGTTTTTTAATGTTTCCTAGCATACTAGGATTCCTAGTGTCTGCTTATTTTCAGGGAAATATCAGGCAACTTCACCCCTTTTTACAAGCTGTTTTTAGAGCAGCAAATGGAGCAGTTGGGCAGGTGGGGGCGGCACTGAAAGTCCAGAATTGCAGCTTTTTTTCTGAATTATTTGCAAGATTGAATAGCATAAGATTACTAATAAGTGGCTTTATCTGCAGCTAATTCAGTGGGCATGCATGCTTGGGGTGATGCATTCTCCTATTATTTGGTACAGATTTAATCCCAAAGTTGTATTTTGTACCTTTGAAAATACTTGATGGAATCAGTGCCCTGAGCTGACAAAGAATTCTTGCTTTACTTGCAGTTATGCCATATAACAGCGCCCATCACTGTGTTGTGGAGGTGGAAAACTTCTTGTTTGTGCTGGGAGGAGAAGACCAATGGAACCCTAATGGTATGTACAGAATATTAAAAAGCAGAGGCAGCATTTGCCTTCCTGTGTCTGTCTGTCCGTCGGGTCAGCTAATGTAGTCATTAGCAGGGGATTCTGAGGGCCCTCAGCCTAATTGCTGAACCTAGTAAAGGCTACTTTTAGATATTGATGTAATAAATATCTGGTACTTTAGCATTAGCATCTCTGTCATTCATCAGCTCCCACATCCCTTGAGAAATGCCACAGGCAGCAGATCAGACTCTTTCAAGTGCATGCACCAGGCAGCAGCTGTTAAGAATTTTAACCTTCATTTCCAGTCTCCTTCCAGTCATAATATAATAATGCAATTGCAGTAGATGAATGCTTCCTTTCTATTGTCAAACCAGATACTTGCAGCTAAAGTTGTTAATGTGTTAATTATCTAGACTCTGAGATTCTTAAACTGGTCCTTTTTTTAGTCTTGTGCAAGAGCTTCTCATATAGATTATCTGCTGCTACCTTCTTTGATTTGATTACTTCATAAATTTACTGCAAAGAGAAATTAAACAATTTAACAGGCTTCTGAGCAAAGCAAAAGGAGAATACCATGCCTTGCAAAATTTACAGAATTGTCAAGACATTGTTAGAAAGCTTGCACACGAAGAAAGAGTTGTAGTTGTAGCAGTCTGTGTAACAGAGATAATTATGACTGAGAAACCATAAAACAGCTTGCAGGTACACATTTTTACTTTAAAACACCAGAGGATCCAGCTGAAATTACATATACTGCATATATTTTATTGTGAATGCCCCATTTCAGCATCTGCACTAAACCAAATTATAGAAAATTGTTACATCTGTTCACTTCCTAAAACCTGAGACAAACAATCCAGTCCACCCCATAAGCATATTTCCGGTGTAGTTAAAAATATCACTAAATGTCTTAGCAGAAGAGCCCTTCAGTTCTGTTGTTGAATCTTCTTTATATGAAACAGGAGATAGCATGGTATCATTAATGACAGTTATTTTTAGGAGCATCAGCCACATCCAACAACTGAGGGCCCCTGTTGTGCTTGGTGGTAGGCATATGTGTAATAAGATGCAGACCTTGTTCCAGATAGTTTATAATTAAATGGCCACGTCACAGGAAGGGTAAAAGAAAAGGAGTATCATTATACAAAATTTAAAGATGTGGAAACTGAGTCGCGAGGTGATGGGGAGATGTTAGAAGGGGTACATATCCGGCACTTGAGGTAGGAGTTGAGCACAACTGGTCATGAGACAGATAGTACCTTAGGTCTAAGGTCACCCAGATCAACTCCTGAGCTGAAGATGTCGCTGAAGATGTGTAATAGCATCCTTGTCCTGTGAATACCAGAGCTGTGATTTTTCTGTAGAGAAGATAGGAATAAAAGAGGTAGGAGCATTGTTGATACTGATATCTTTATTAATTTACCCCAAGAGAAATGGATCTTACTTGTCACAAAAAGTGGACCTGAAATCATAAACTACATCCTGTGCTGTTGCTGGGCTAGTTCTTTCTCGGAACTGATTTGCTCTAAATGTGCCGCATGGGAACTGCTCACATGTACCTGCTTGAATTTGTGTAAAGGCCCTTGTCTGCTATCCCTATAACACAGAAGGGGCTTCACATGTGCTTAGCTGGAACTGTCTTGCCAGAGCATTACAAGGCTTTTGATTTGAATGAGAATGTGCCAGCTCTTTTTCCAGTGGAAGGAATTATCTTTGAGGTGGGGGCAATGGAAGGAGCACTACACATTTCTTTAGCCATCAGACTGGCTGATTCTTGAGAAGCTGGGTAGACCCCAAGGAGTGCCCATGTCCTCTCCATGCTGCTCCTTGACTTCCTGACAACCTAGGGAGCGTGGGAGACATTATTTCTCACTTTTTTACAGCCTCCTATGGCTGTGCTTTTCCAGTCACAAGGGGTTCTTGCACAAGTAAATGCTTATAAGATCAGGCTGCAGAACACAGGCATGGATTTAAGACCAACCTCCATAAACTTCAGAGCCTTTCACCTTGGCTGCAGAGACCTTCACGTAGAGAGCAGAGACCAGCATCTGCCTCCTTTTGTCCCATTGTCCTTGTTTGCTCATCCTTATTTCTGATCACTTTTCACAGTTTTTACGTTCTGACAGGTGCTTCCTTACTTGTGTAACCTTCTGACTGATGAGCAAGGCAAAATAATAGATACAGTTCTCTTTCAAACTGAAGTCTAAAAGTGGGTCATCAAGTCCTTTTCCTGCCATCTGTAGGCGTTGCGTAGTCCCATTTTGTAATTTTCTGAGCTCCATTCGAAAAACAGTTGGATTTTTAGCCGCCACTGCTCCTGTTGGAAAGCTGTTACAGAATCCAATTGCTCTAAATGACTAGGAGCCTTATTCTAATTTCCAGTAAAATGTATTCTTTGACTGTCTAAATCACCTTGTTCTCATGCCAAAGTTGGCCTTTAGCTTAATAGTTTTCCCCTCCTGGAGGTTTGGTCCTCCGATGTATTACAGACAACACTCCTATCCCCTTTCAGCTTTTGTTTACCTAGGTGCAACAACCCAAGTTCTTTGTCTCCTTCCGTAAGGTTAAGGTTAATTGTTCCTCCTGTCACCATAGTAGCTCTTCTTTGTGCCTCTTCTAGCTTGATTTCATCTCTCTTCCTGTGAAGGGACCAGATTTGTATCCTGTGTTCCCTCTCTAGGCTCACTAAACCCTTCTCTTTCTGCCCTGCGCTATACAATCTTCTACATACCTGGCATTTGTAGTGGATATGTGTATGACACATATTGTGTTAGGAAACCAAGGTCCCCAAATCACAGGTTTGTATGACAACAGTTAAACAGAGGCTATATAACCAGTGACCACTGAAGTCCCCAGTAACTCTGAAAGATGTAGTGAATGTGGCAGCATTAAAACCTCCTACTAGAAGTGCAAATGTACAATCAATACTTATATTGTTTTGAAATCCTGCTTTTTGAAATAGAAATGTCCTAAATAGTGAGACCTAGAGCCAGTCATATACCTGCTGTTTTACTGTTCCTTGAATATATATCTCTCAGTGCCTCTTTTTCTAAATTCTCTGTATAGACTGAAGGAATTCAGATAGGGACCAAGAGCGAAGCCTCACTTCACTGAACCCAGTGGCAAAATGACCAGTTCCCCTTAGTGTGTGGGGATCTCTCCCTGTGTCTGGAGGTGCGTTTGAGTGGTGCTCAGCATAAAGGGCTTTGGTCTTCATTAGGCACCATGCTGGATTTGAAGCCAAACACTGCATTATTCATCAGTCTTATGCTTTACCCTTCTCATATAGAACAGGCATATACATAGCGAGGGAATTAGCTCGCTTCCAGACAGAGTGGACAACATGGTTTCTTTCTCTGTTTCCTTGTAGAACATGATCTTAAATAAAGTCTAGCTGTATCATTATTCTCATCTACGGTCTTGATGGTCTATTTACACATGCAGAAGTAAGTGTGGAATGAAGGAAGCAAAGCGAGCCAATCCTACAGAGGCTTTTCCGATGCAAAAATATTCACCTTGTAGAATACCCAGTGACCATTTATAGAACTGTGACATATGCAGTTGGGTTATTCTGCTGGCCTGTGAAGCCTCTAATTCAATTTTTTAGTCACAGATACATAAACAAAGTTTTCTGTTTCTGAGATCCTCATCTGTTGAAGTCTCAGGTGTTACAGGAAATTGCCATACACTCTCTTGCTTCAGTTTTCTTGCTTTGATGTCAATCTGCATGTAAAATAAGGTGAAATCTTAATATTGTGAAGACAGGAATACAGTTCTTGGTCTTGACAGCAGAGATAAACTAGTTAACTGGTGTATGTTGCTCATGTTTCATATTTTAGCTAACACACTTGGAATAAAACTCGAAGAGTGTATTCCCCCTTCGATGCACATGTGTAATTTCTTCTAACTTAACACTGAAAGTACATAGTAGAATAAACCATCTAGTGCAAACACTGCATACCCCATGGTGATGGCTTCTGCAGCTCCTGGTTATTTGCACAAGGCTTTTTTTGCATGTTCCACATAGAGATGATGTGAGGAGAAAGAAAAGCACATGTTCTCCCTTTGATTTTTTTACCTGACGCAAAATACCCTAGTCATAAAAATACCATGGGGATGCCCTCTTTTGGGCAGTAATTTTGTTTAGTGCTGTGATTTATTGTGGCTGTGAAAGTACTACAGCGTCTATAAGTAAATTTAAATACACATTTTCAAGATGTTATTACAGAGAGCAAGAATAATCTCTTATCTGCTTTTACTGCTAACAATTGCTAATTCAAACCTTGCAGTGCCCCATTTGTTGAATTATTACTGTACACAGTGTAATCATACATTGTTGTAAAAGGGGGAACCCTTCATAAAAGCTGTCATCTTGTGAAATATATGTAATATATATTACAATCATGATGTTAAATACATGAAACAAACAGCTGAGTGTCAAAATAATCTATCTTTACAGGGAAACACAGTACAAACTTTGTTAGCCGATACGATCCCAGGTTTAACAGCTGGATACAACTTCCACCCATGCAAGAGAGGTAAAAACCTACTACTACATGTTGTTCAATATATGTTTTATCATCCTAGAAGCAGCTGAAGTTTGTCTTAGTTCTGGGAGTAAGGAGGCCTACAGAAGTATTGAAAATGACAGATAAAACTGCAGCATGCAGTTGTGTCCCATTTGTCTCCTAATTTTTTTAAACTTTCCAAATTCAAAACTCCAGATGCCAAATCCTGCAGTGCTAACTCATGCAAAATAACCATGGACTTTGTGCAATCACTGGTTGCCTGAGTATGGTCTGAAGGATTTTTCTGAAGTCTTCATAGTGTCCTGTCATGTTCCCTGACTCAACTGTTATGATGAGTTTGCAGTAAATAAGCAGCACGTAGTCAGTTATCTTATAGGGAACTGAAACCTTCACATGTTGACCTCATCCTGGCCATGAAGGCCTCTCCTCAACATGACTGACCTGGTCAGAGGACTCTTAATCCTAGGTTGTCTTTGAGTGACATTGCTGTCAGCTAATGCATATTCGAGTGTCATACATTTTAATCTTAACTGTGTACCAAAGAGCAGAGGAACATGTAGACTTGAGCAATGACTAGTAAAGATGGCGTAAACTTAATTCTGGATCCCAAAGCATATCTTGGCAGGTAAGAAGTCCCCCAAACCTGAACTGACTGATGCATGTTTCCTAAGAAGAATGTGAAAAGCAGAAGATTCAATGTAATGTTGTTTTACAAAAGAGCATTCAATGTCCATCCTTCAGTTCATCACCCATCTTCTCATGGATCTAATGTACAAGAGATCTCACACCACCTTCCTAAGGCACTTTCCTTATTCTGTGTGCTGTCAGTATTATAGCTCATTTTCTGTTGGCTGCCCCTGGTGTTCAGGTGTCTGGCAATCCTAAATATATTGAACTCAGTGCAGCCTTGCAATTCAAGTGTATATGACAAGATGCATGGAAATATGGCTGTTTTTTCAAATTTTCAGAGGTAAAATGTCCATCTGTAGAGTTTTGGAAGGGCCTTCGTTCAGGATTTGATTTGATTGACTGTTGTGGTTTAACCGGGCCAGCAGCCGAACACCACACAGCTGCACTCTCACTCTTCCCCACCCCAGGGAACAAGGGAGAGAATTGAAGGGGTAAAGGTAAGGACATTTGTAGGTTGAGACAAAAACAACTTAATAAGTGAAGTAAAATAAAATTAAAATAATAATTATTATAATAGTAATAATAGGATGTACAAATAGGATATACTGCACAGTACAGTTGCTCAACACTCAGTGACCAATGCCCAGCCCATTCCCAGATAGCAATCTCAGAAGAGAGCGAACTTTCCAGCCAACCCTCATTTATATAATGAACATGATGTTATGTGATGTGGAATATCTTGTTGGCCAAACTGGGTCTGTTGCTCTTGCAATGCTCCTACCCAGCTTGCACAACTCCTTCTTGAGCACATACACACTAGGAAAATATGAGAAGTTGAAAAGTCCTGGATTTCTTAGCAAAAACTAAAAGCATTAGTATATTATCAACATTCTTCTCGTACCAAATCCCATACTAAATCCAAAACACAGTGCTATTCTATCTACTGGGAAGAAAATTGGCTTTATTTAGCTGAAATCAGGGCTTTGACCTAAGTCCATTTGCAGACCCACGTGCAGATACTTGTCACCAAAAAATACTGCATTGTACCACTGCATGGAAAAACACAGGTGGGACAGATCTGAGGAAGTCCCCTGTTGGAGCTGAGTGAACTGATAAAATTAGCCATATAAAGAGAGATAAGAAGAGGATCACAATTCATCATAGTCTCTGGTTTCTCTTTGCCTCCTGCCAGCACTGTGGGGCAACCCCACAACTGGGTTATTTACCTTAAAACAGAGGGTCACCTACCCCTCTGGTTCCGCTCCCTGGACTGAGTCACTGCCAGCTCAGGTGTTGGCGCAGGGCAGACGGGAGGTGTGCGTGAGATTGAACGTCGCCATGCAGGTCATCCTCAGGGAACCGGGAGGCTGACTAGTGTTTGTTTGTATGGAGCCTGAAGCTCTTCTGTGGAACCAGATCTGTGTCCTCATTACGCCCTCTGGGTATCTGCAAGAAAAACTCTTGAGGTCCATGTACAGCTGTCTGAATAGATGGATTTATTTGCTGACAAACCTCAGAAGGCAGGAGTAGGAGAGAGCAGACAGTAGGAGATTTTCCACCTCCACAGGTGAAAACTCTGCTGCGCATTGTGATTGCTTAGCAGCTGCCCAGTGATAAATTGCAATGCATTAGCACCTCAGCACTTTACAGTGTTATTTAAATGTAATGGTCCACTTACGCATAGTTTCTTCTGCAAGGGGCTTCGCTATGAAAATGTTAATTGTCACCTCTTTTGTTCAGGATACATAATTCACCCATTTGCCCATTATTTTTCTATAAAGGCTCCTAAGCATTGGGGCTACTGTTGGAAAACAGGGAATTCCAAATGACTTTCTGAATTGTTTTTAATCATTTATGACTTCCTGAGAGCTGTTGTAGCCTTTAGAGGTAGGGTCTGGCCCAGTTTTTAGAAGATCATACAAACGAGAGAGCTTTTCTGCAGTCTCCTTTCCCAGCTCCCTTAGTCAGATAAAGTTCCCATTAAAGTCAACAGGCTATTTTTTTCCCCCTAGGACTACAGGGTCACGCCCCGTCTCTGCTGGCATATGCAGGCACCATTGACAAGACAGACTGTTTAATGCGTTTTTCTGAGTCATTATGGTCCATCAAGTCAAAACCTACTTAGGAATTTTAGCCTGAGAATAATTGGCTAGATAGACTATAATAGCTCCTTTGAAATGACTGCCAGGTAAATGTGGGTCTCATTCACAGGCAGTATATTCTCAAGTTGAAAATCTGTATGAAATATTTTATGAGCAAACTTTTATCTCATATGCTAAAATCCATATCTGATTGATTTTACTGTATGACCTATAAAGAAAAGTCTAATCTTGTTATGGATTCAGAGCCATCGGTGTATTTTCCTTAAAGCCAGGTTTGGTATCTTTTTATTTGAGGAACATCTCAAAAATACATGCTTTTAAAAAGTATGTACTATTTTCAGGTATTCGTTGTTTAGAGAAGCAGCAAATGACTCCTCAGCTTTTGAAATACACGTCTGCCCGATGATGCAGTAACAATGGGATGCCTTTGGGATGCCTTTTGGAGAGCAGTTCAGTTAGACTAACGTGCCTGCTGAAGGAGTGGTCTTTGTGGCAGACGGATCTGAACTTGTTGCATCTGTTGCATTGATGCAACAGTACTGACACCTCAGTCAGTACTGTTGCATCTTGCCAGCTCAGCCCAGAGCAGGACAAAGTGTGTGGAATATAATAACATTTAAAATGTTTTCTTTTTTCTTACATTCCGAGTTAAAAGGTTTTATTAAAGACCAGCAAAAAAACATGACATTGCACCAGGGCCTGAAGAAGCACAAGTGGAAGTGAGCAGGTCAGCGTCCTCATTGAGGCCGAGTGAACTGAGAAAAGAAGCAGCGGAAAAAGAGATAACGCAATTTCCCATCTCATTTTAGTCTTTGACTTTGATAATAGTAATGTTAACCCTTATTAAGATGACTTTAATATTTAAAAAGCAAAGCATACACTCTAAAAGTGACTCTGAAATCAGGTCCAGATATTGCGATGATCAGTAATAGCATTGGTAGTTTTAAAACTCAGACTAGTAGTTCTGTTTCTTGTTTCAGGGCATAAATTAATCATCTGTGGAAATCAGAAGGAAATCTTCACTTTTACGTGTGTGTACTTAGGAGAAGTTTGTTGGGTTGATTATTGAGTGAAGAGTTGTGAAGGAAAAGCATTTCAGAGACCAGTGAATGTCGAGTATTTGAAAGTCTTGGAGAAAACCACAAAATAATTGTCATCTTTTCCATATGCAGATCCTGAGGTGCATTCCAGTTAGCTGATTAGAATGGATAGTGTCTCCCCAGTTTGGTGGCAAAAGTTGTCATGCAAAGATTGCTGTATTATATTTCAATCTGAATCATATTTTACAGTAGTTTAAAAAGTAATCACTTAACAGCATGCCCCTTACACACTGTGTCATTGAAAAGTAAAAAGCCAAAAAGCTTAAAATATTTGTGACAGGAGCTACTTAGTGAATATTCACATCCAAGCAGAAGAGTGAAGCATGCTGATGCTTTCATTTTTGCTCCTTATAGTGACACTGTGTGGATGAAACCAGGAGTACATGTACAGAATAATGTCAATGAAATCCTAGTTGTACCCACCTTTGTTTATTAAACATGAACTGTAAGAACCACAGTGAGAGCAGTTCGTTAATGGGTTTGTTGGAGGAGGTGCATGAGGACAGACGGGCAGACGCGTGAGCACCCCAAGCATTGACAACAGGCGCCCTGTGGGTTTGTGCCTTGCACCTGCCAGACACAGGAGGTTCGGAGAACGTGTGCCTGCCCGTGCAGGTTCTCTGGTGTCTGATAGAGTGTGACCTCTGCAGCTTTTCCTACTTTTGTGGCTGCTACAGGCTGTCTTGCCTCTGGCCTGTCACGTAGGCCTTGATTGCCTCTAACACCTATACCTTCTGTCAAATCAGAGTGAAATCAGTGAGCAGGTTTTTTGTTGAGGAAACAATACTCAGGCAGACATGGATACACATACAGTGTAATCAAATAAGCTTTGTTTCCATAGAAAATCAGGCTAAAAACATAGATGCACAATTTGCTGCCCGACCATGCAGAGCAATGTATGCCATCAGCTCCTATCTGCCCATTGACAGATAAATTACATGGTCTTATTTAATTCATCAGTTGAGCTGGAGGCACTTAGTAGTATTCCTGTCCTCCTATTTGCATCTTTTTTTTTCAGTAGCTTCATCCCTGTGCTGGTGTTCCCACTCGAGAAGGGGTGCTGTCCTGCACTGTCCAAGTTGCCCATGTACAGGCAAGGTGAAAGCAAAGAAGTAGAGGTGCTCAGTGACCCTGATTGGTGAGAGGCCTGTCAAGTGTGCACCAAATAAAAAAAATAAGGCAAGAAACAGGCAGCATTGTGTCAGATGTGCGCCCTGAATGCCCAGCCAGCCCTACTGTTTCCATGGCTGTATCTTCGTGTCTGCCTGACCTCTCCTCCCAACTTCCAAACCACCACCCAGTCTCAGCCACATTTAATAAAGAGGGAAATGTCTCCAAAATGTTAAAACGTATTACAGATTTTGTGAAAAAAGGCAGCTGGGTGAAGGCAGCTGGAGAGAGATTTTCTGTGTGCCTTCACTGAAGGAAATGCTCCTGAATGTGTACCTGGTTAGATGACAGGTTAGAGACAGGGCGCACCAGGCTTTGCTAGCTCTCCTGGTCACGGGGTGACTAGAGGGAAGCCTGGGGAGGAGCTGGGACATACTGGTGCTGCTAATTGCAGGGTGTTGTGCTCTGTACGTGGACCACTGCTCAACCTGAATGCCTTGCAGAGATCTGCAGGATTGAGCCCTTGATGGTGCAGGTGACTATCAGCCCTGCAAGATTTACCATGTGATTCAGGAGTGCAATATGCAGCTGCTCCTGGATTCAAATTTGGGTGCCTGGGCAGGAACCGGAGCACATTGTGTCAGCCACGGAGCAGGGTTTGGCAAGCTGCAGCCACACTCCAGCGTGCCTGCTTTGCAGGAGCTGTCAGAGCTAGACCTTGCCATGCCTGACCTGCCAGCTTGTCTCTGGGCTCGCTGGTTTCACCTGGGAGAAAAGCTGAGGTTTGGGGCTGACGATTCTTGTCATTCAGCGTTTTGTACCGGTCTTCATCCCAGCCTAACTGTGCTCTTTTGCAGTTTTCTTTCTCATGTCATTGCAGCTTAAAATTAAAGGCCTCTACCCTAGTAAACCTTCTTGCTGCTGAATAATCCAGGGAGATTTCCCTGAAAGTGGATTACACTAAACAGGGTCTCTCAAAATTGTCTACTGCTCTATTTTTACTTCAGCAATAGAAACTCACTATTAATTTTGGAGGCATGAGGAAGACAAACTCATATATGCCTACCAGTCCTGTCCAGAAAAATTGATTATGTTCCTGCACACCTGAGTTGGATGTTAAAGCGGACAGGTGGCTAAAACTTTCCTCAGAGTTAGCTGGATGGGGACAGACCTCTTTTGAGTTAAAGGGCGGAAATGTAATACTGTGCCTAGCATAAGGAAAGTTGTTCTATTTGCAGCACTGCAGAAAGAAGAAAAAAATGATAATTGAAGAAAAATTTTGATGATGTGGTTCTCTTACTAAATTGGGAACAATGACCCTTGAAGGACCATAAAGAAAGTGAATGTCAAGATAATTTATTATTGTTACATTATCTACCTCATTTTTCACTTTGTCTTACTGAGTTGTTACATCCCTTACAAGGTAATGCCCCAAACATTAATGAACTCCTTTTTATCTCTCACGGGTGTGAAGAAGCAACAAACAGCTTTGAAAAGGGGTATTTTCTGCCAAGTTTATGTGTGCTTAATTGTTTTGACACCAAAAATGAAGTATTTATTTGATGTGGAGCGTGTATTTAATTAGCAAAGCAGCCACAGTGTCTAGGATAGCTGTAAGCATGTGAAGCTCCTGGACACTTTTCTCTGCAGTAGCATTTGAAGGAGCAGCTATCTTAGTTGAAGGAGTCAGCTGGAGAGGAAAAAACATGTTTGACGTGGCTAATTGGTTTGTTGTTGGCTTGTTTGGTTTTGTTCTGCCCTGTCCTCCAGGAGAGCCAGTTTCTACGCCTGTCGCCTTGACAAGAACTTGTACGTAATCGGTGGAAGAAATGAAACTGGCTACTTGTCCAGCGTGGAGTGCTACAATCTGGAGACAAACGAGTGGCGTTACGTGTCTTCGTTACCACAACCTTTGGCAGCCCATGCAGGAGCTGTTCACAATGGCAAAATATATATTTCAGGCCAGTGTATTTTATAATTCCTGCTATATAACAAAAAAACCCCAAAACAACAACAAAAACCCCCCCCTGAAGCCTCAGATGCACATGTTTATACTAATTATGTCTGGAAACACTGAACAGAGACATACTTACTTTGCAGGAGGTGTTCACAATGGAGAGTATGTCCCCTGGCTGTACTGTTATGACCCTGTGATGGACGTCTGGGCCCGAAAACAGGACATGAACACAAAGCGAGCCATCCACACTTTGGCTGTAATGAATGATCGACTCTATGCAATTGGAGGAAACCATTTGAAAGGTCACATTTTTAATAGTGAAAAAGCATTTCGGTGTCTCCCATCTCCTGATAAAGAATATTGTTGTTAGACAGTCATTGTTAAATACATTAAAAACCAGGCAACACAATTTAACAGGACACTTGAGCCAGCAATTTTAAAAACATTTAATGCAAATTATTTTAAAATTATAACAGTACATTAAATATATGAGTAATGAATGCTTTAGATAATAAAAATGGGAGCTTCCATTACTCAAAGGCATGGACAATTTGTCATTACCAAGAATTCAGTGAAACAAACAGATTATTCTTTGACCCGAAAGTACCAGCAATATTTTCCTCTGTAGATCATTTTCCAAACTGTGCAGTTAGAGAGAGCTTTATTCAGAGCAACAAGCTCCTGATTTAATGAAGAGAGGAAAAAAAAAAACAACCCTCCAGCCATTAAATATTAGGACTAGGCTCTTTAGATCTCTTTTAAGTATTAAATGTAGCTTGTTAATTATAATTATTTTTTGAGGTCTCTTGTTTTAATCTTTTGAAAAGGTCTCATATTAAAATAAGTACTGCTTAGGCATCTGGTATTTTTGTCTTAATACCTACATGCCATTGCTATTACTGCTAAAGAGATTCTGCTTAATCCAGCCACTTAGACAAAAAGCACAGCTCATGCTTCTTTTGTCCCATGACAATATTTGACAGTTTATATTCACATTTTTTTCTTCTTTCTCATTTCTTGCTTAAAAAAAAAAAAAAGCCTCACAACAACAAAATTGTAATGCAAAAGAAAAAGTGATGTTAGCTGCCAGAAACACCAGGCCATGTGCCTGGATGACTCCGGCACCCGAGTCCCCATGAGACTCTCAAGCCACAGGCTGCTTTTGAAGATCTGAGTGCCTGTGGAGCATGTAGGGGATAAAGTCTCAGATGTAAATTTTCCCTGGTAAATGGTACTGGTGGCATAAACCCCTGCAGCCAGGTACAGGGCTGCTGTGCCTCCACTCCCCACCACCAGTTGTGTTAGGTGTTCCTGGACTGGACTTTACAGGGCGAAGGGCGTAAAAGCTGCCAGCACACGTGCACCTGCAAATTTTGTAGAGGTTGCGGAGCTCCACAGTGTTTGCTTTTTCTCTTAGGTAAGTAGAAGTCGACATATCACACCCCCTATGCACTGGTTTGCATAGGGTTGAATTGCTCCTGTCCTTTTTTTCACCCAGTTCCACCTACCATCCTTTGGAAAAAAAGGAACTTACATTGCATTTTTGCCTCTCCAACTGTTGCCCTAGGTGCCTCTGTTATGTGTGAATTGCCTGCTGTTGGCAGAGGTATTTAACATCTAAGCTTCTGGAAAGCTGTGGCTGTCTGAGAGAAGAAAACTAGTTTCTTCTGTACAAACAAAAGGAGAAACTGCAAGGGAAGGGAGGAGAGAGGGGACTGAAGTGCAGATGAAATGCTACAAATTCTCTAGCCAGGGAGGAACAGCAGGGCTCCACGGCGAAGCCCTCCTTTGTGAGGCTGGAGCTGTGTACTAGTGTCAGCAGTGCCTTTACTCCATCGCAGCTGGTCATGTGCATACTGCAGGTTATTGCGGAGCTTTTGACATATTCTGGGTGCATAGCAGTGGCCTTTCTGTGGACCCTTGAAAACTTTACGGCAATGAAAAATTATTTAATCACAGCTGTTCATTCTTGACATAAATAGTACTTGTACAAGCAGCATCATTGTGAAGGATGAATATCACCAAGTGCCCTTTTCCAGAAAATCTTAACTTCTCTTTTCTGTCATACCTTGATGGAAAAGACAGTAGTGTCAAGTAAAGCATCCTAGCATATTAAGAAAGCCATAACTTTACTGTGGTGCTCTGATAAAGAAGGTAGTTTGAGACAGGGAAACGTCTGTTGGAGCGGGAACCAGGACTCCTGGATTCTATGTCTATGTTCAACTCACTTAACTGATACTAATGTATACAATTTGAGAGTGTTGAGCTGAAACCCATCTGCCCTTCGGTGATTGCAAAGCAGCAGCCACACGGAGCCTTTTTGGTCTGTCAGGAAAGGATGGGGCCACTGTTTTGTTACATTTTCTGTTGCTGTAAAGACTGTCACATCACAGCTGCATACTTAGGCTACACCTTAAATCAGCTTGAAAATTGAAACTGGTCCTGAACATCACGTCTGTCATGCTAAGCACCTTGTCCCTCTGGAACAAAGTGGCATCTGTTGGCTTAGCTCTACCTTGACTCATTAGACATTGACTTCTGTGCGAGATTTAATCTGTTGATTTTGGAATAGATTAGATCTGCTGACCTTTGAGAAAGACTGCAGGGACAGTCTTTTCCTACATGCTCAAACTCACATTAACACTGATAGATGAGGAGGAATATCACTTGAATCTGCTTTCATCATTGATAGGTTATTACTGAGTGTTACTTTCTGATCTGTTCAGCTTTTATATGTACTTGTGATTTGTAGAAGACTGTAGAACTAATGGTAAAAGCTTTCAACAGATTTAGTGGAACTGAAATAATGAGCCGTTAACATTACAGAAGATGGCTTAAATGTATATGGTTGTATTTTCTAGAAGAAGCTTTAAAAATGATGTGATAATAGTAATAATATAATTGTAACTGTAATTTAATAAATTTAACAGTAAACCAGATAATAAACCAGTATGTCATAATGCATGTTCTCTTTCCTCAATGCTGTCATCCAGGTTTCTCCCATCTTGATGTAATGCTTGTGGAATGCTATGATCCGAAAGGTGACCAGTGGAATATCCTCCAGACTCCTATTCTGGAGGGTCGCAGTGGCCCTGGCTGCGCGGTCCTTGACGACAGTATTTACCTTGTAGGAGGCTACAGCTGGAGTATGGTGTGTACCTGCTTTCTGCAATGACCCTGCCATTCCTTCTGAGCTCTTGCAGCCAGTGTGTGTATTACTCAGATGGGTCAGAGAGGAGATGAGGGATGAAGTAGCTTCAGGGGCAGGTTTTGGTTTGGTTTTCAACTTGTTGAGAACATGGAGTATTCCACCTTTGTGCTTTTCTATTTAAATGAGTTATTATCAGATTGTATTCACTGAATGGGCTAATATAAAAATTAGACGTAATTTGGCAAAAGTGATCAACAGGACTGTATGCCTATAACTCTGCTTATAAGGTGCTTGTTAAGGAGCCTGATTTGCAGAGGCTGGGCACTCAGCCCATATGAACACCATACCTCTTGAAGGGCTCTTAAGTTAGGGCCCAAAACCATGTGTCACTTTGGAAAGTGGCTTTTTGTCTTTAAAGCTGAGGTGTGACTTGAATTTTGCTTGCGCCACATTTAATATGGCTTTTTGTTCTGTTACAGGGGGCCTACAAATCTTCTACTATTTGCTATAGTCCTGAGAAAGGGACTTGGACAGAACTAGAAGGAGATGTTGCTGAGCCACTTGCAGGACCTGCTTGTTCGACTGTCATATTGCCAGCCTGCGTACCGTACAACAAATGATAGTCAAGGAGCACTGACACGAACACTGATTGCATTTGGGAAAATAATGACGGGTGACGTAAATATTTTATTAGAACAGGATTCTTCCTAAAACAAAGCTACCGTAATTGACCCCTTATTCCATATTTATGCTTTAGGAGCAAATTAAAAGAAAACAAAAAACAAGTGTCCCATCTCAAATAGATGCTGGTGTCTTAAGAAGCAAGCAGCTAAAACACACCGAACATTACATGCTGACAGACTGCCATTTCAAACTGATTTTAACTTTTTCCTGCTGCAGAGATATTCCTCACATTAAATTTAACTTTAAGAAAAATGAAGGCTAAATGTTCAAATACAGCCTGAAGAGACAAGATCAGTATTGTGCATTGTATCTACCTGCATGTGATCTGTGTTGAAGTCATGAGGATGTTGTTTTCATGAATGCTTCAGAATTCAGATAGTGGAAAGCTCACACTACATTGCAGAATTGTCTCCTCCTCTGTAATCCTAACCTACAGCTACTTCACATGCTCTGCAAGCAGTACAGCATCAGAAGATTATAAAAGGTAAAGAAATATCATTCAGATTTTGCACAGCTTGGCATCTAATACGCTCTGCCTTCAAAGTCCCCATGTCTAAGTGGTGCGGAAAGCAGACTACAATGAAAGCCATGCTTTACAGAGCACTTCTTGCAATAGCAGTTTAAGGATTAGGATCACATTCTTATAATCACACTTGTGTAAAGTCAGAGTCATTTCACTGAAATCACATGGGATGACTGTTTTTACATTAGTATAACAGAAATTTGGTCCTACACCTTAAATTCTGGGTTCTTAAGGGAAGTTATTTCTATGACCACTTAACGAAGCACCAGAACCCTTACTTACTTTTCACCAACCTGGTTAGATAGGAGCATCCGTGCTCATTGCTTCCAAAGACACGAAGACTGCATTTAACTATAAATGTATTACTTTGGACTCTTAAATGATTATGCACAATTTTGGAGAGACGCTAGTAAGTAGTTAAATTACTCCTGTGTGTTTGATCTTAAAATGTACACTGAAAGATTTTTACTATTGATCCAAAGTAATATGAGGCTAGACTTTCCACTGCCTTAGAGCCTGTGTAATTTACACATTGCAAAGCGAGTTGAGAACGCTACCACATGGGACTAGTTAGCATTTAAGACTTGCTTCATGAACCCATAGTTGTTCACACAAATCAGGCTCTCTGTGTTTTAAACTTATGTCTTTCTGTCCTGGCTTTGCAAAAGCAGTGACAAAATCAGAGCCTGATTCTTCACCACCTTGCAGTTAACATAATTATCTACACCTCAGCAAAGTATATGCATAATTTTCTTCCATTGTGGTTGACTGGTGCTGCATCCATTACCCTCAGGACTCTTCTCGTCACTGGTATAAACTGACATCGCTCCATTCAGGCCAATAGATGTACTTTGGTACGTCGGCTAAGAATCTGGCCTTTAATTTGCGTAGTTGTAACTGGCCGCACCAGACAAAAGGCAAAGGAGACTCAGACCCTTCACAATAGGACTCAGTACTAACGCATTAAGCAAGGAGCAGGCAACTTCTGGAAGTTGGGTTCTGCTGCAGACGCAATGGATGGGAGGAAGAATTAATTATTTGCTTTGCAAAATAGAAAGAGGACAGATGTACACAGAAATTACACTATATGTTGAAGCTTGAGAGCAATATAAATAATGGAGAGCAAATATCATGGGACTGTTTCTCTCTGCCATCAGTCCAGTTTTATTGCAGTGCAACTCTCTTGCTTGCAGCAGAATTACATGGTTGTAAAATTGGAGTAATGCAGTAAAGACTGATACCGAGCAAATAAAATAACCCAATTGATGAGGTAGCTGCACGCCTGGAAAAAAAATTGTTTAAACAAAATAATTATCTGAAGATGCTAATATTTGAATGTGCTGTTCGGGAGTTTTCCAGTGAGCATCACTAAGGAACTCATAAAGGTGGAGTGTATATCCTGAATCTCGATCCATTTCTACTATATAGTGCAATCTTAGTTGGTTTTGTATTTATTTATATTGTTCAGATCCAAGGGATCTCTTGTAAAATATATTTGGTGCAATCATGACTTTTTTTTTTTCCTTTCCTGTTGAGAGTATATAAAGATGAATATATATAAAAAGGAAACTGTTAAGATACTGAATGAGGAAACCTTTAATGACATTTAAGATCAGGATAAGGTCTGCCATTAAACACTGACTGTCACCTGTCTCTACTGAAACGTACCATTTTTAAAGGATATTTGTTGTCCTTTTAAGTGGTTCTTTTTTTAACCAAGATAATTTAAAGATTTATGAGGACTGTATGTAAATCTTTCTATCTTTCAGGAAGGCATGACCAAGGAAAGTGCTAACTGAATAAGTCACACAAAGAATGTAAATTTTGTACAGTACTAGACTGTGTAAATGAAGCTTGCTTGTAGGGGGAAAACTTTAAATAAAACTTTATGTACTAATTCAACCGTCTGCCATATTCCTACTTACAAAGTGTATGTATAAATAATATCTACATTAAATTCTTTGGAACTTTTTTTATCATGTAGATGCGTAAACTTCTTTTATTTTGTGGCCATACGTAACAGCCTCATTGTTCTCCAAGCGTCATTACTCAGGGCTTGTAAACACAGCGATGCAGTAAAGCCTCGTGACTCAGGTTTCCCCCGAGTGCAGGTGCCTGGCCTGTGCTGCCAGCAGGGAAGGCCCCTCCTGCGTCCTGCCCACACGGTCGCACCTCAGAAGCCAACCGATGCCATCGGTCATACGCCTGTGAAATGCCTCTGCCTTGCACCGCTCGGCCCGTTCCTCCATCCCAGGGCCAGGTAAGTGAAAAGGACGCTGCTTCATTCGATGCGGTCTTGCTTTGGGGAATTTAATGCTAATTGTGGCGATTTCTTCCCTCTTCAAAATGTCCTTGCGGTTGTGACTGACCCTTCTAACTCTGGGTATTTCTGTTCTTGGAGGGAAGTGCTGGCACAGGTGAGCAGTAGAGGAGCTAAGACAACAGGTATTGCCAGGCTGAGAAGACAAGCTAAAGGCAGGGGTTTCGCCAGGAAGCAGAATCATTATCAATACCACTTACTATACTACATGTGTTATTTATCAATGCCTACCAACCTTTGCCACGGACCAGAACCTCCCTGTGCAAACCAAATGTCTGCACTGGGCAAACAAAAAGGCAGTCCCTGACCCCTGTTCGAGTGTGAGCTGTGCTGGGGGGTGCTTGAGGGCACCATGAAAGAGTCTGGTCTAATGAGAGGAGATCCGTCCCATTCAGATCTTTTGTAAGGGGAAAGGTGAGCCAAGAGCAACTACAGTAAGATAGCACAATGAATAGGGCTGCTTTATTAATGAGTTTATTTCAGAGAAGAAAGGAAGGAAGAGAGATTTATGCATATTTTTTAAGTAATGCAGGAGAATAAGGAAGAGGAAAAGCTGGAAGTAGTGGGCAGAGATATGATTTAGAAAGGAAAGGAATGAAGCAAGGAGTAAGAAGTAAGAATAAAAGGAAACGAGGGAACTGGAGCCTGCGAGAGGAGAAAGTGTTAAGTTCTTTTGGATCAAAGGCACAGAGAAAGTAAGGGCTGGAGTAATGACAAAGGCAAAGATGGTTTCTGAGAAGCACACATCAGAGCAAGCTTGGAAAGAAATGACAGGAGAGGCGATAGAAAGAGCAGAAGAGAAACAGGAGAAAATGCAATAAAAGAGGACATGAAATAAACATGAAACTAAACAAGCACTTGGTGATGGTACTGCTCCTATTCAGCTAATCATTTACAGTGGTCTAGCTGTCAAGCAGAAGGATCAAATCAGCCGAGTACTTAGGTGTTGCAGTGTTCAACCTTTCAATGCACAGACTTCAGCACAACAAAAATGATGAGAGGGATTCCCAGCAGCACCTCTCTGCGGTGCCTGGGCTGCGGCAAGCACCCAGCTGCAGCCAGCACCTGTGGCAAGGGAGGAGAGCTGCTGCTGGTGGTGAGAAGCACAAGAAGAGCAGGTGTGTCACAAGTCCCAGTCCTTACTGGGCTGAAGGGAAGCGTCCTTTCCATTTCTGATTCTCAGATGAAAGTTGTCTTTGGGAGTTGGACACATGGAGTGTTCCCGTGTTCTCCTTCCTCTCTGCTGTCCCTGCTGCCAAACCTTTGTCTTCTCCTATTCAGCATGACAAACCTTACTAAGAACTTCAGTGGAGCTGGGCCAGGGAAACAGCAGACCAGTGAACAGAGCTATTTCCCTGGCCCTGGGCTGTGGTCCCATCCACTGCCCGAGAAGCGCGAGAAGGCTGCTTTGCTGCTGACTTGCAACCTGTACGCGCGCCCTTACGGGGGGCAAAGGCGGCGCCTCAGGAATCTGCTTGTCATTGATTATGGCATTGTATTAAAGGTACTGTGCACCCAGCTCCCAAGAGCTGGCATTGCTTTCCTTCATGTGTTTGTCCCCCTTCCCCACTTTTAATACAATGATTTACTGTGCTAGCTGCATCTGTGAGCCAACTTCTGAGAAAAATCCATGCCAAGCCTCATTATATATACCAGCTTCTATTGTATGATAATCACTCACCGGTATAGTACTCTAGTTCTCTTGCTTTGAAGGCACGGACCATATTTCAGCTTGCAGTTTAAATGGAGCTTTCCAGGTACAAAGAAAGGAGACAGAAATCCCCAACAGTGCTAAAGAGGGCAAGACAGTAATTGCCAACATACACGCTCCTGAGCAGTTTTAAGATACACTTCTCATTTCTGTTGTTACTGCAGCAGTGGAAAAGAGTCCGTGTTTCAGCCCCTCGGGGCCAGACCAAGGAAGCGGCGATGGCCGCGCTGAAGGTCGGAATGGTTAGCGGGAAGGGAAAGTACACTAATGAATTCTGGAGGGCTTGTAATGCCGCAAAAGATTCAGTTAATCTGCAGCATAGATGTTGATCAGCGAAACTGAACCTAACTCTGTGGACCTTGTCAGATGTATTCTGTGCGTGTCAGTGTTCCACACCAATTACAGATTTTAGAAGATGCTCTCATGCAAAACTGTGTGCCCTAATATATAAGCCAGCTCAGATGTAACTAAAATTAAAATCTGACTGTGGCAAATCTCTGTGATCCTGATATATGAAAATCCAAATAAATGATTTGTTCCCAGAAATGAAAAATAACTTCAG